AGGGAGGGAGGGGAGGAGGGACTAGGCGGGATGGCGTTCGAGATGAGCATGGAGGAGGTGCTGGAGGTGGGGAGAGGGGTGCTGGGCGGGCCCAGGAGGGAGGGAGCGGGAGGAAGGCCGAGAGGGACACAAGGGAGCGTGCGGCTCGAGAAGGGAGGGAGGGAGGAAGGGGAAGGGCGGGTACGGGGGCGGCGGCGGCCCCGGAGGGCGTTGGGCATGTCCTACGGCGCCGTGTCCCTCCAGGGAGCGCGGGCGAACCAGGAAGACCAGTACACGGCCATCCCGGACCTGGCGGGGGTCGCATCGGGGGAGACGGGGGCCGCGCAGGGGCTGCCGAAGGAGGGGCAGGGGGAGCAGGCGGAGATGGAGGCGTTCTACGCGATCTATGACGGGCATTGTGGGATCGGCGCGGCCCGGTACGCACAGCAGCGGACGCATCACTACCTGATGGCCGACCCCCTCTTCGTGTCCTCCCCCGAGGCGGCCATGGTGAACGTGTGTCGGCGCCTGGACAAGGAAGTGCTGGAGATGTGTGAACAAGAAGGCTTGTACTGCGGGACGACGGCCATTTTGACTTTTTTCCGGGGCCGGACCGTGTATGTGGGCAACGTGGGAGATTGTGCCGCCATATTGTGTCGGGACGGGAAGGCTTTTCCCCTGTCAAGCGCCCAGACGCCCGGGCGGAAGGACGAGCGGGAGAGGATCGAGCGGGCCAACGGGTGGGTGACGGAGGAGATGGAGTTGTTCATCGGACAGCTGCACCGGATGGACTTGGCTGATCCGAGCATCGCCGAGGCGGTGGACAAAAAGGTGGCGGTCAACACCATCCATCGTGTCTGCGGGAACTTGAGCGTTTCGCGGAGCATAGGCGACCCGGATTTTAAGGGATTCAGCCCCCACCCCGGCGAGGAGGGCCTGGGGGGAACCGAGGCGGGGGAGGCGGGGGAGGAGGACTCGATATTCGCCTTTCCCCCTGGTCATTCGGGTGTCTTTCACGGGGACCTGGTGATTGCGGACCCCGAGACCCGACAGATCACCGTGAGTGAGGCCGATGCGTTCCTGCTCGTGGCCTGCGATGGGTTCTGGGACGTGGTGGATGAGGAGGAGGCGGTGGCGCAGGCCACTGGCCTGCTAGCAGGCGGCTTGGGCGTGTCGGACGTGGCGGCACAGCTGGGAAATTTGGCTCTGCGGTTGGGGAGCTCGGATAATGTGACTGTGGTGCTGGTCGTCTTTGAGCATTGGGAGGAGGAGGGGGAGGAAGGGGCACAGGAGGAGCAACCGGGGCCGGGCGAGGCGAGATAGGGCGAAGAAAAGGTTCTTGGTTGCCCTGGCGGAGGACAATTGGAGGGGACGCACGTGCGTGTCGAGATGGAATGATGGATCGCTTCCTCCACTGGCGGGAGGTAGCGGAATCGAAAACACGTGGGTAGTGTGGTGACGTTGAGCGAGGAGAAAGGGATGAGGTGTCGTCGGGTCGATCTCCGTCCCCTGCCACGGGATGGCCACGAGCAAGTGACAACAAGCGTAGTTTAAAGAAATGACATCAATACGTTTTGTGACCTGAGACGTAACCAAGAATGACTGCACGACAGTTACGATGGACCTACATTTCACCTCGTGCCATCTCTGCGCGGGCCTTCCTAGCCTCTCGGTTTGAGCCTATCACCGATGGCCGAAAGGCCAAGCAAGACCCATACTTGATAAAATTCTAAAAGCAGGTATGGAATTATTTTTGAATGACCGCCTAAAATCGTGATCGTGTGCCTATACAATGTCTCACGCCCGGCTTTTCGTCCACTGATTAGACACCTGCCAGAGCCTAGATGTCGGTTAGATCGTATTCGCCTCCAAAAGGCATGGATAAGTGCATTATGCTTGGACAAAGTGAAATATATCATTCATGCCTGTCTGTCTCTGGATTTTGGCTTTGTATTTCAATCTCATCCATATTTGCCATGCCCCTCCGCCAGCTGACCTCAACCTCCTGGTTATGATAAACCTGTTTCCTGAGTGTCCCCTTGATAAAATGGGTTTTAAGCCTGCCGTGACCAACCAATTTTTCTACTTCGCAATGCCTTCTTTCAACATCGATAAGCTGCATGGCTGGAGCTCTGATAACTTGATTTCGTGAAGGGAAACACGTGACGAGTTTCCTCCGTTTCCTTCATCGCCCTTTTCGAAGCGTGTCGCCTTTCCTTCACCAAACGAAGCGCTGCAAGAACGCGATTTGTTTCCGCCGCCGCCACTTCCCTGAAGCTTGCTTCCCATTTCCATCTTCCCATCCTACAGAAAAAGGAGAACAGGTGGTACTTTGATGGGCGCTAGAAAATCGAGGCACGGAAGCTGTCTTTCTGCCCTCTCGACTTCTTTCAGCTGCTCATCTTCTCCTCCGAGGCTGTGGTCACCCCCTCTCCCTCTCCTTCTTCTCTTCATCCTCCTTATTTTAAGCCACAACCATCCCGTCGATTCATTCTCCTGGCCAAATCCGCTGGCGAGTTTTTCCCAAAAAAATAGAGAATGTGTCCGTTCCGTCCGTGCAGTGGCCTTCTCCACCTGTTCTTACCCCGCGAATAATCCCATCGAGGACCGATACATCGTGGTTGACGACCAGATCCCCTCACTCTTTGCATCAGCGTCTTCTTCATCCCTTCCCTACTTTCATGCGGCAGTCTTTGATGGCCATGGTGGCGCAGAGGTAGCAGAGATGGTCCGAAATACTTTAGTCGGGAAGGTAAAGGAAACCATTGCCAAATTGCCGCGTCACGCCCAGAAAGATGAGACCGTGGTACGTGCCAGACGCAGGGCGCAAAATGCACTTCGCGAGCGGGTGATTGTTGCACCTGTGTGGTATAGCGTGTCGTCCAAGGTCGGTCCGTGAAGCCCTCTTTCCCCTTCTCCCCTGCAGATCACGAACGCCCTCATCAATGCCTTCATCCAAGTGGAGACCCTGTGGATCGAAAGCGTGCTGGCCCTGGAAAACGAGCTGACGCAGCGGAAAAAGGCCACGGTCGGTGCCTGTGCCCTCTACACCCTGATCAAAGACAATGTTCTGTACGTGGCGAACGCCGGCGACTGTCGTGCAGTGATGGGCAAGCTCCGGCACCCCGCCAAGCCCGCCTCCGCCCCTCCCTCCCTCATCCCTTCTCCGCACCCGTCCTCCACGGCCGTCTACGAGGCCATACCTATGTCTCTCGACCACAACGCACGGGAGGAGCGCGAACACGCCCGCTTGCGGAAAGCGCACCCGGGGGAGGATGAGGACATTGTCCTCTGCTACCACGGGGGGCGGGCCTGCTATGTGAAGGG